TATTCATATATGGTTTTTTTTGTGTCAAATCATATTTCTTCTTATTCATATATGGTTTTTTTTGTGTCAAATCATATTTCTTCTGACAAAACTTTAATTGCAGAGCCCTTCTCCAATTCTAAGTAAAAAAAGAAAGAGTTTGCCTTTCAGCCAAAAGAACAAAAGAGACGTTGTTGAAGGTAATTTTTTTTTTATTTAGCCTATCTGTCATCTTTTGTTCTAGTTCTTTGGCTGATTTTTTATTTCTCTTCTTTTTTTTTTTTCAGGGAAACGAAAAGAGGCCCTTACGTAAGTGGTCTCTGATTTTTGTTTGGGCTGCACTTTATAAGTCAGACTCAAAATTATAATAATATTTTGAACTGCACTATTATAGTCAGATTCATATATATATATATATATACAAAGGTTCTAAATTTTGTAACCCTGTAATTTTATAGAGTTATAAAATTTATAACTCTTTTTTATAGAGTTATAAAATTTACAACTCTATTTGATTTTTCGGAGGTTCTAAATTTTGTAACCCCACAATTTTGTAGAGTTTTAAAATTTGCAACTCCATTTGATTTTTTTGGAGGTTCTAAAACTTGCAACCTCATAATTTTGTAGAGTTCTAAAATTTACAACTCTATTTGATTTTTTAAAGGTTTTAAAACTTACAACTCTATAATTTTGTAGAGTTTTAAAATTTACAACTCTATTTAATTTTTTAGAGATTTTAAAACTTACAACCTCATAATTTGTTGCTGAGTTCAAAAATTTAACCCGTATATTTAAAACATGAATCTGCCAATAATGACAAATGAGCTTCTTGTCTTGAGAAACGAGTAGACAAAATATAGATTAAGATAGATAAGTAAATGACAAAATTTTCACCTTTTTTTTTTTTATAATTCTCTCTACACACGTTCACTTGCACAGAGTCATTTTTTTTTGTTACGTCCCCTCACCTGCACACACTTTTATTTTTTTCTTTTTCGTTCCTTTCTCTCACTTCTCTTTTCCTCTCACGTTTCCCCACACAAGCTTTTTGCTTTTTTTTTTTTTGTTTTGTTTTCTCTCACCTTTCTGCACACACACGCACCAAGTCCTCTTCTTTTCCTCCCTTTCTTTTTTGTTTTCTCACGTTTCCTGTATGCCTATATATAGGCATTTTTGAAGCAACCCACGTCTTTTCTTTTTAAATTAATTACTTTTTTTCTTTTGAGAGATTATCTCAACGTTATTTTTTATTTAACTCTTTACTAATATATTTTACTCTTTCTTCACACACCCATTTTTTTTCGAGAAGTTTTCCAACCTCTAACGTGTAGTTTTGTTTTTTTTTTTTTTTGTTTTTTTTTTTTTTTTTTCGCTTAACAGGGTATGCTACATTTAAGCTAAGAATAACCATCACTGCTAGCAGAAGTAACACTTGATGATTTTATCCCCAGAGCAACTGAAACTAACTGGAGCCATTTCATCTCTTTTTATTTTTTTTTAAATTATTCATTTATTTTTATGACTCCTAATATCGGCTTCAAAAAGCACAAAGTTTCTCCAATGTAATAGCTGAAACAATCTTTTTATAAATCCCATAAGTTGCAAATACAGGAGCTCCAATGACAGAACTATCAGTGTAGACTTTACTAAGAGCTTCATGAGGAGGAAAGATCCACCAAGGAGTAGAAAAAGGGGATCTTCTCAGCTAAGTCCCCACATGAAATTGGTGCAAAACCATCTCGATGAAAATTGTCACATCGTTTAGAAATAGTTTCAAGTGCTTTGCTTTTCATGAGACTGGTGCAAACCATCTCGATGAAAATTGTCACCTCGTTTAGAAATAGTTTCAAGCGCTTTTCATGAGACGAGACTTCTCATCTATTAAATTACTCGGGGAGTAAGTCTAATGACACTAGACCACAAGAAACTAGTGACTGAAATCCAAATAAATTGAAAATGGTACCGTTTTTTAGGAATGTTCCTAGCAAATATGTTCCATCAAAAGCAAGCCCATAAAGGAGAGTGTTATAAAATAACGAGAATAGGCAATAAACAGGACAAGAACACACAGATTTACATGGAAAAACCTAAACAGGAAAAACCTCGTGTAGAGGAGAAGAAAACTTCACTATATCAAAGAGGGATATTAAAGGAGAATGTTTTAGAGCAAAAGCACACATAACATCATGAAAAACCCTAAAAATACATCATATATATACCTGTGTGAGCATAATTAACATCAGTGGTGGGCTAATTAACAAGAAAAACTGTGGATAATTACTAACTCTTTGGTTGGATCGGACAGGGACTTCTATAAAGATCTTTCCACTCATTCATCATACTCAAAGTCGAAGTCACGGCATGGGGGGCTCGGAAAAATAACAAGAATCGGTGTCGTGGTGGTGCTACGAGATGGCGATTTATCGTATAGAAGAATAGATCCGCGGACCTATTGATTGACCATAGATGCGAACCGATCAACCGCCTCCCCCCGACCGAGCAGTAGTTCCCCACGGCTGACAAATAGGAGTTTAGGCCGTAAAAGAAAGGCACCGGCCCCCCCCCACTGGGA